AACTACATAAAAATGCAAGTATCCGTTATATCTAACTGAAATCCTACGTTAAAATAGCAAATTATGACAATAATTAATCTTGGTCATATTATAATTAACGTTTTTACGCATTTGATTTTTGTGTAGCATTATGTGATTTAAAAGCATGCACGTATTAAAATTAATATGGCAGATGCTAACCACATATATATATATTGAGTCCAATTTAATTTGGCTAGATTTGAAAGGGTTATCGATCGATGGGGTCACCTAAATTAAATGAACAAAATCAGACAATATCACGCTTCAAAAATGTAAATGTCGGGTTGCCTTTCTATGCAATTAATACCCTCACCTGCTCGAATATGTATCATATTGTATTGTGTTATATTATATTATTTTAATGAATATAATGTTTGGATAGATTGTATTGTATTGTTTTAAATTTTGTCGTTACATAATGTCATACATTCATAATTTGAATGATAAACCTACAAAAAAGGTAAGGTACGGGGTAAAACTACTCTGAAAAGGTACGATAAATAAGGACAAAATGAGAAGAAAATATTAAGGTAATAATGTGATCACACCAAATCAATTGTTACATAAAATGAGTCTTTTCGTCGTTACCTATAACGATGGATTTAAACGATACGATATAATATAATTTAAGTAATACTCAAAACAAATCATAATTAAACTAACAATACAATATAATATAACGCGTAACAACCATCCAAACAAGGTGTCACTCCTTAGGTACATGAGAGATCAATATATCCTACGGGGTTAAAGGTGGGTTCAGAGATAATGAAACCTTAACATGATCTTAGTGAACAATAAAAAAAATGTAACTAGTGTAATTCGAGAGAATATGTCTAGTAAATTATCGTAATCACCCAAGAGAGAATTGTGGTAAGTGGAGCGCTCAATTGTAGAGAATAAATTGGTGAAATTATATATAGCTACCGTAGCGAGCTGAGAAATTAATCATAACTCTAAGTCTCCTTTATCTTAAATTCAACTTCATCCTCTTTAGTCAATAATTTTTTATACTTTTCAATATTTATTATTTACTTATCATTATAAATAGAAATATTATTTTTATATCTCAGAAAATTCAAAACAAAAAGAATTTCTAAGTAATATAAAATAATTATAGTTAAACCTTATTCTATGTAAAATTTGACTTCTGAATAAAAAATTAGATTGTATTTATAGCAATCACTTATCTTATTTAGGACAAGTTGTAAACGTAATCAAGAACCTATCATGTGTATGTTTTGATGATATGTAATAATATTATACTCAATACACTCATTTTTTTTTCCACTTCATATTCGAAGCTCACATTAAAGCCCCGACAACGGAAAAATGAATAGACAAGAAGGTCCACTACTCCAATTATATTTACCAACACATTTAACCTTGCTCTCGATCGTTTTCTTATATTTGGACCTAAGTTATCTATTTCCCTTTTTTCAAAATATTATCCACTACTATAAATATTCAATACTACTTTAATTTTTAACCACCTAAAGAGGGGTACACGATCGACAACAATGGATCCTTACTTGCGGTAGATTTGACTTTAGTTTCTATTCAATCCGTCTCAATTTATATAACATAATTAAAATTTTAAGAGTATGATTTTTTTATTTTAAAGGTGTATTCGAATATATAATTTTTAATATTTTAATAAAATAATTTACATATTTTGAAACTGCATAAAAAGTACTATAAGTTATAAAAATTAACAATTTAAAATATTTAAAAGACATACAAATAAATTATAATCAATTGTTTTGGTTTAACTCTAGAAACCATAAACTATATTTAAATTGTATCATATAAATAGAAACAAAGGGAATACTACCGTTTATATAATTATATAATAAAATCCAATATTTCACATCCCACCTATGTTGGACGACTAAACATACATTGTATCAAGACATGCTTCTATTGCTCATACGATAAGTACGTACGTGTTAGTTAAGAATGTTCAAGATTTAATAAATATGTATGAAAAATATTTTTTGACCTAGATACGTCATATAAATTTTTAATATACATATAGTATAATTTTTTTTTATGAAGACTAATGTCTGATTGATCATCCTGACATATATGTGACTACGCCACTATCAAGCTAAGCACGAGGTTCTGCGAATTTTAATGGACTTAATTTAAGTTCTCACACATTCTAGTTTCTACTTTCTTTTCTTCTTTTACTTGTTCGATTGTTCGTTATGAAAATCTAATGTTATGTTTTTACACAATATTATGAGTAGCTATATTTCTTATTTGGATTTTGATAATTAAATTTTTTGTAGGATAAATTCTTGTTACATTATAATATAATTGAGCCTTTGAATTTCTCTACTTCATGAATTGTTCAGCTATATGTTCTTATTTTGGTTGATTGAATCGTGACCATGCATCAATTATCCGTGTCTATTTATTATGTATTGCTCACGAAAATCTATATTTAGATAGTTATTGAACGACGTTATTTTTCAGGTATATGAGAGATCATATATATATATTAAATATGGGTTTAGAGATAATGAAATCTTGACGTGACCTTATTGAGCCGTAAGAACGTGCAACTAGTGTAATTCGAGGGAATATGCCTAGTAAATTATCGTAATTACTCAAGAGAGAATTGCAGTAAGTAGAGTGCTCAGTAATAGAGAATAAATTGGTTAAATTATAGCTAATGTAGCGAGCTGAGAAATTAATCATAACTCAAGTCTCCTTTATCTTATTTTCAACTTCATCCTCTTTAATCTATAATTTTTAATATTTGTTGTTTACTTAATTATAAATAGAAATCTTATTTTTATAACTCAGAAAATTCCAAAAAAAAATAATTAAAAAATCTTAGAATACACTCATATTTTCAACTTAGCCAAGGGAGGAAGAACAGACAAGAAGGGTCCACTACTCCAATTATATTAAGTATTAACTAACACATTTAACCCTTTTTAGGGCATTACTCTCGATCGTTTTCTTATTTTTGGACCTAAGTTATCTCTTCCCTTTAATTCTAAATATCATCCACTACTATAAATATAGAATAGTACTTTAATTTTTAACCACCTAAAAGAGGGACACACGACAACAACTCTTACGGTAGATTTGACTTCGACTTTTATTTTCTGCATCAATTTATATGATATAATTTAAATTTAAAAAAAAATAAAAAATAATTTAATCGAGTTAGATAAAATATAGATCAAGCGCAATAAGTTATGAGTGATTATTTTGCATTGAAAGAAAAAAAAACATTGTCAAATAAGGTCCAAATTTAGCTCTCAGATGGTCTAGGAATAACTTCATTAGACATAGAAGAAAAGAGTGTAAAATTGATAAGCTTTAGAAAGAAGCTATCCGATCAATAAATTCAGGAGGCCACTACAGACGATCGAAGCACGCTTATATCAAAGCATGCTATTGTGTGAAGCGGAAAGGGATAGCGGAAGACCACACTAGACAAGAAAAACAAGGATTAGTTATTTTGGCAACCACCACTTGATCAACACGATTCACTTATTTGTTGAAAAATATTATCTAGATAGTAAATTCCTTAGGACATATGACTATAGTAAGGTAAATCAACCTATTTTATCGACGAGATGCAACAAAAAAGAAAATTAAACAAATTATGAAAAACAGTGTTTATAATCGTAACGATATAAATAAGAATACTCATCTAAGCTGCAGAAACATGTACATATGAAATATGAGAATTAACAATTTAAAATATTTAAAAGACATAGAAATAAATCCTAATCAAATTTATTTTATTTGACTCTTGAAATCTTAAACTATATCATATAAATTAGGGGGGGAAATTACCCCTTTTTACCTAATACATAATTATATAAGAAAATCCAATATTTCACATCCGACCTATGTGGGACAACTAATCATATACATTGTATCAAGACATGCTTCCATTGCTCATACGATAAGTACGTACGTGTCTGGATGGAGAAGAGGATAGCAACAAGCAACTTAGGAAAAAGGATAAGACTAATGTAACAAAAAATGGATGATGGAGGTAAATTCAGAATTTAAATTTTTTAACATCGACTCATTATATTTCAAAAGCTATGAATTTAATTCATATGTATTATCCATTATAATTTTATTAACTTTTTAAAATATAAATTTATGTTTCATAGAAAAAATAATGTATTCAGATGAATTCGATACGATGAAGCATACGTGTGAAGAATTAATTGTTGATGGTGAGATGTGGACCTTACCACACGTGTAGTTAAGTTTTTGGACTTTGTTGACTTTTGAAGGAAGGCTAGTCATACTTTCTTGTCCGTAGGTATGGGTTGGGTTTGGGTCCAGCCCATTTTGGCCTATTATCTATGCATCCTCTACACCGCATGTGCACCCATCATGTGTCACTTCCAAGAACCGCCACAACACACGTTTAATCATTATCGACGTGAGATTGTTTCACTCTTAATTAGATGTCTCAATTCGAGCTTTTGATATGGAAATAATCTTGTTGAAAATGTCACCCCTAAATGAATTCTGACATTTAGTGCGCGATTCTAATTTAGTCGGTTCTCCAGTGTGGACTCCAAATACTGAGTGAGAAACCAAAAAATATATATATGTTTAATCATTTGAGTTTTGTTGTAAAGTCTAAGCTAAAAAGTAAAGTAATAATATTAACGATGAGAGCAAGAAATAAGAGAGGAAATCTTTTTACTTCTTAGAGTGTTTTCAAGTGTAAATAATATGACTTCTCACCTTCTATTTATAAAAAGAATGATATAAGCATGATATTAAACGTTTGATGTCATGAGAAAAGTGATCAGAGACATTACATTATGTATTAGAGATCATGAAAAAGGTGAAAGACATGTCATTAACGATTGATATATGGGTAGGATATTTCTTTAGTCTGCCGCAATATTTCATAGTTCTCCCATTTGGATGGACACATAATATAAACTCTTTCACAAAATATAGGAAGGAAATAACTCATACAAAGTAAAATATCCGACCTTAAGCATTACATGTCAAAAATATTACTACATCTTATTTGCAGGAAAAAAGTAGTACTATAAACACCATTATTTCCAGTCCCTTGAACTTATTTCATCACCTCAAGCGTAAACGCAACGAAAGGTTCTGCACTCTCATCAGATTCAAGCCAATGGATAAAATTCTATTTGGCTAACTTTTGATGCCACCATTCAAATTTTCCCTCAGCACTCTTAGTACAGGTGACAAGTGGGGGGCTCACCTCAATTCGTCAATCGACTTGATCACCAAATCTGCATTGTTCTTGGACTTCATAATTAGCTCAGCATTGGGCCTGTCATTGTAATCTATCTGTGGAAAGAATTTAGCAATGAACCAAAATATTGTTCAATACCCAAAGAACAATAGGAATTGAGCTTGATGATATCTTAAAAGGGATTAACAGTTAACTGTTAATTTTAATTGTTCTTTCTTTCAAAAAAAGAGCAGTATTGGAAGTGAGGCGCTTACCCTCCATTTAGCAACATCAGGGGACTTCCCTATAACATAGATGAGAAGGCGCCAATTAGTCTATATTACCCAGTGTTTTTCTACACCTTTTCTAGTAAAAAGAGTTGAAACAACAGTTGGAATAGTACCTGTAGATATATGTCTCTTCAGGACACGTTGCATTGCTTTCTCAAGATCAACATCGACGAACCTAAAAGTAAATACATATAAGACAAGCATCTTACCACATCAAGAACAACTAAAGTTTTGTTCTCATATAATGCTGCCAAGCAGCCAGTTTTTTAACGAGTCAACAGATCCTGTTACCAGCAGGCTTTGATAACCTATATCTAAGAAACTTAAGGTATCATATCTTACAGTATATGAACATTAAACAGGCATTTTCTAGTTTTAGCAACATGCCATTTTCCATTAAGTCGGGTATCTTTAATTGCTTGCTTTTTTCTCAGATGGAGCAGATGGCTTTAGCACAATTTTTTCTCCTTGAAGACATGATAGGCATCACATTATGGACTTAGTCAGGGATCTTAACATTGATCCTTTTCTTTAACCATCTGGTATCTGGTACCACTAGCCCGACAAATCCAGATTTACGTCACATAAGGCCCATTAAAAGGAGAGGCGCTCCCAAGCAAGAGTTTCTCCATTCCCATGGCTCGAATTTACGACCTTCGGGTAAGGGGGAGGTATCCTTCCCCACTATATCCTTTGGTGGTATCTTGATATTGATTCACAAATCAGTTCCATTAATTGATAGATGTCAAATAATCAGTAAACCGATAGCAAAGACAATTGACACAATCACATATTTTGTGCTAGGCTGATGCAAACTCAACTTTTACTTGCAGAAAAACTCAAAGTTATCCCTCAGCATTCAGTTTAGTATATTATGGTGATTTCAAGGGAATTCACAGGGATTCCTTCCCTGTTGTCAAAAGAAAAACATGGATCAAAAAGATCATCTTACCACTTCTCATCAAACATGGATGATACCTCCTTCCAAGCACCATCTCCAAGCAGCAGATAATTACCTTCAACTATCACTATTTTGTGTCTGCAAAAACTCACCATGAAATTATTTTTTTTAAAAAGGGAAGAGGCAACGTTAGCAACAGACAAAAGAACTTCAACATTTGTCTATTCCTTATGTGTCTTTAGAAACTTATTTAATTATCCAATCAAATTATTGAAATATCGGTAGACACCTATGAGAGAGGTATTAATAATTTTAGTTATCCAGTGCCCACAAGTATGAAGAAAAACTTTAACAGAAGTAGCACGATCATAGTGAGAACACTGATTGAGCTAACACTTCTAATAACAAGACACCTCAGCAGGCCTGCATATGTAAAACATTACCCAGCGGCCAGCTTTCACAGTTTCATAACGTATTCTTCACTTCACTTCTAACCATTATATAGAGCATCAACTAAATTCAAAGAAATGAACTGATAAAACTTATATTCTTTGTTCATTCATCCATTCATCAATTTCCCCTCAAAATAGTGACTTAAACACGCACGATTGAGACACATTTAGAATTTTATAGGGTGCACAGAAAATAGCATCCAAACTAGATATAAACTTACTGAAGGTTCACAAAGATATCATCTTCTATAGGATCTCCTACACCATGGTCAAAAGATGGACAGTACACTGATCCCTTGCAGAAGAAAGATTACTAGATCTTAGAATTTTCACTACATGAACAGAGCAAGGTAGAGGCAAGCAGAATAACAACCTCTTCTCTAGATGAAACATTAAAGTTCAAGCCCACACGAGATTAACTTAAAAGGCTAAAAAAAATCATTCATGGAAGTAAGTGCAAGTAATCAGAGGTGAATATTCACTCACCTGATCTTTAAGAGTCTTAAGGCATTCTAGTAGTAAATTGGGGTCAAACGTCCATGGAGCTGATTCAACATAAAGAGATTCCAAAGAGAGAAATAGAAGTTAAACCAGAAATTAATGCTTAAACTGTGTATAAACATATTAGCTATCTGCTGCGAAAAAAGAGAACTTACCACCCCTTCTCGCATGTGCTTCCTCTGGATCCTATAAAACAGGCCGACCAGTTAGATTGTTGGAACTGTTACAAAGTTTTAAAATGAAATCTGCTAAACACATGCTCCAACCACAATATATGTACAAAGTTTCACTTATAATTCTGTAATTCAAAAGAAAAAGGCTGAAAAAATATTTTATAGCACCCAAAAGTGTGGCCTAGTGGTTAATGGAGTTGGTTGAGCACCATGGGGTCTCAGGTTCAAATCTCAGCATAGACAAAAACACTAACACACTGGGTGGTTTCTTCTCATGTATTCTAGCCTTAATGGACAAAGTTACCTGAGACGTGTTACTGGTGGGAGGTGACAGGTATCAAGCTGGCCCGAACACCACAGTTATCAAAACAAAAAAAGTATTTTATATGCAGCTCATCTGTTGTTCTTTTACATTACTCTTTCATCTCTTGTTAAAGTGCTAACTCAACGTTTGTCCTCTGTCCATTACTCAAAACCAGCTAACAACACACATCAAACAATAAGGCTTTGTCGACTTCATGTAGATTTTCAAATGTTTTGGCAAAAAACTAAAGAAATTGCAGTCAAATGAAGCAACACGAATAATAAGAAACCATAGGAAATCCTACCTCCATTGCATCAAGCTGATGGCGATAAAGGTGGAATCCATCCATTGGAAGAACAATGGCAACTTCTGGAGGCTCAACTTGAGAATCAAAGGAAGGAGACTTTTGGGGCCATATCTTATTGACTCTCTTAGCTACTTCAGATGCGATAGTGCTCTTTCCAGCACCGGGAGGACCAGCAAGACCAACAATATGCCTGCATAATTAGGCAAGTTGTTCTCCTTAAGGCACCTCATGGAATTAGTCAACATACCAATTTAGTAGAGTGTTTGTTGATAATACTAGCAGTTTGTAGTTATAAAAGTCATGAAACACAAGCAATGGAAAAAGATCGGAGATGATAGAAGTAAATAATAATATCAATATAAAGAAAATGATATTAATATACATAAAAGGAAATATATGCATGTTTGAGTCAATAAGGAGATGTTTGTAGCCATAAACATCATAATCACTAAATTAAGATACACAATTCTACTCATTTAAATGATTCAAAGCATGTTATTTTACATTTCAGAGATGTGTTTTATATTATTAATATAGGCTCAACTTCTAATTTTGAAAAACATGCATATTTTTATTATTATTGCAACTGACTCATCAACTGATTTAGGGGTCATTTGGTAGGGTGTATAAGAATAATGTTGAATATGATGTACTAGTAATGCTTGTATTAGTTATGCTAGATTATTTCTTATACAGTGTTTGGTTTGGTGTATTAAAAAAAACATGAATGCATAATTTCTAAAATAAATATTTGTTTACAAAAATACCTTCCACAAGTATGATAGAAGGGATGTGAAAAAGGTTTTGAGCGACAAATGTGTCTTTAACCATGCTAATGCATGCATTAGAACCCTTTGCATTACTAATACCATGGATTTTCATGCATTAATTATACACACTTTAATACCAAAGAGAGATTGAAAAAGTGTACCAAACAAGGTATTAGCAATACAAAAGCTATTGTATGCATTATATTTTCTAATACACTCTACCTAACGACCCCTTAGTGACTATTATGTTTTATGTATATTCACTCGCTATTATTAACATATTTACATGGATAATCGAGACATATACATTTTGGTTGTCGCTTCTTGGGGTATATCTTCTTCTTTCTTCTTCCTTTATTCCCCTCTCGGAGGATCTGTCGTCGTGTTTTTCCTTTTCTCTACGGCACATGTCATATTAGTCCTCTATATTGATATACATCTCATTCAGATAACCAGCCAAATGGTAGAGGCAGATTAGAAATAGCAAAAACTTAAATGAATCATTTCTTCTTTCCTTTATTTTCCCTTTTCCAGGTTCCAGTCAGTATTTAGAAAGGCCTTAAAGTTAGGAAGTAATTCAAGATAAACCATAATTATCTTGAAAAGCTACATGTAAATAGCAACCAAAATTTCTGCTTTGAGATGCAGATAAGCATCTAACAGATTTGCAAGATGATAGCTTACTTGAAATAAGGGCTTGATGCTGCTGCTGCAGTTGAAACAAGGTGTTCGGCCAAAGCATCATATATGTCATCCATGCACCTACAAGGTACACAAATATGAAGTCAAACATATAAATACAAATTAATAAAAAATATCACAGTTGTATAAGGTGGCTCAACTTTACCCATCTCACAAGGACAGATTTTCTCATGCCAAGCGAGACGCAACTGCACAAGCTTTATCTTTTAACATATAGGCAGGAAACGCATTGATAGCTTATGAAATAGCCATATGTAGAAAAGGAGGTATCTACTATCTATAGAAGAGCAAGCATGACATATTCAGTCTAGATTGATTTTGTCGTTCCAGTCAGACACAGATTTGTTTCTGGTGTTGAGCTATCTTTCCGGAGTTGAGTTATATCTTTTTTCAGTAATTAGCAGTCTTATTCATGAGAAAAAAAAGTAGCACAGGAGGGCCCAATATGGAAGAAATCATACTGAGAATAGGATTAGGCATGACCAAGCCAGGAGAAATAAAAATACAACAAACAGAAAACAATCAACTAATATTAAGTGTCAACCACAAAAGGATGTTGCCTGATCTAGAGATGTAGCTCATGTATTATATAAAAAATCTTACAGACAAGTAGAGCACGTATCAATCTATACCATCATTTTTCAATCCTAGTTCTCGGCCTCTATCACTCCAGATGCTTTTTTGTCCTCTTCAAGTCTCTTTTAACTTTCCAGCATGAGACCATTGTGCGAGCAATATAAACTCTCGTGATTTAACTTGATCAATCTACACAAAAACAACAAAGGAGTCCACAAGCTCGGTGGTTGCTTGCGTCGTAATATTGGTACTGGTATTTCATCTTCAAGGAATCTGAAGTATACCAATCGCTTGTCCTACTTTGCAAGCATTAGGTAAGTGCTGCAAAATCCACCATAAGTTAACTAGAGTGATTTGTCCTATATCTAAGGAAGTCCCCTATATCTCCAATTGTTGTAGGCCTGTTCAGAACTAAATGAATGAACACCAGGCCTATAAAAAACATGAAGTAGTGCAGCATGGTCACCATACTGTTGAACAACTATTGAACAGGGATGAGTCCCACAACATTGGGAAGTTCTTTCCGCACAAATGCCTCAACACTTGTTATTTTTCAAAAAAAAAATTACCGTGGTGTTAGGGTCCGCTTTCGCGTTCCATGGAATACCTGTCACCTCTCACCAACAAAAGGTGTCAGGTAACTTTATCTACCAAGACTAGGACAAATAAAAAGAATCACCTAGTATTTTTTTGTCTCCACTGAATTTGTGAACATGAAACCTCAGGGTTTTCAACCACTTCATTGACCACTATGTCGTCATACCCTTGGTGCTACTTTTTTATACTTAATAGTAATAATTTAACTTTAAACTTTTCATTTTAATCTTACAAGATGGTTATAGTCACCCGAAAATCTAAAACTTTTGATTTTTTCTTTAATAAGAAAAAAAATCGTGTCTAATCAAACAGTTTCACATACAAGAGTAAAGTTAAAGGAAAACTAACCCGTCAAGCAAGTGCAAATGAGCCTCCAAATTATGTGCACAAACAAGATCACTAGTTGGTTTCAAAAAAGGTGAATTCTTATGATCCAAAGCCAACTCCACACCAACATGTGAATAACTCCATGGCAACTTTTCACTTATCTTCATAACCATAGATGGTGAATGCTCATTCAACACTAATCCTGGTGATTTTGGCACAATATCATGAACATTCACAACTCTCAACACTTTCACACCTAATTTTTCAATTCTTTCTTTGAACCTTACATTACCAACTCTTGGCCCTGAAAATGAAAAAACACAAATTGGCACAACACTTGTATCCGCCTTTACATTTAAGCCCGTTTCCACTATGTCGTACGCGCTTAATATTGCTAGCGCGCTGCCTAAGTTGTGCCCAATAACCGTTATGCTCATTTCCTCGTCTGGATACATTTCTATTAATCTTTTCACTTCCGTTAGTATCTGTTCTCGAGCTGAAAATTTGCAATACCTGCATAAATCATTCAAATTTTAGTAACAAATATGAATTCTGGAAAAAAAAAATCATTTAACTTTGCGCTCTCTCTAACAACTTAACCTTTTAAATGAGATTGTTACACACTTAAACATGGTATCAGAGCAAACAGAAGTACTGAGGTCGAATTATGTGTTCTGTCTAATATATTAATCTTTTAAATGAAATGATTACACAATTCAACATGATATCAGAGCAGACAAAAGTACTGAGGTTGAATTATTATGTGGTTTGTCTAACAGATTAAGCTTTTAGATGAAATTGTTACACACTTCAATATGACATCAGAGCATACAGAGCTATACTCAGATTGGATTTTGTGTTCTATCTAACCGTTTAAGTTTCTAGATAAAATGAACGTACCTGCACTTCTCGTCTTTGTCAGTGTAAAGATCAAGAAATCCAGACTCGACCTTGACATTAGGATCAGGGCAAGGTATATTATCTGAAGAAATCGGACGGAGATAATCCATTAAATCAGCAATCCATTCCAAACGAGTCACGGTACCTCTCCATGCTATTGTTATGTCACGACGCCCTAACCGTTTCGACGTTTCGTCATTTGAAACCGCAACATAACCTATCCAATTCGCGTTTTTACTCCATATCTATTATTTCGACATTACATAATTAAGAAAAATAAAAATACATCTTTTTTCTAATAATTTTGACTTTCCAGATGAGACAGTCATACAAACAGACACAGAAAATAAAAGTTACCTTAGGCCAACGCGATTGCTTGAAGAAATTTGGCAAGTTAATATTTGAAGTTGCATATAGATAACGTGTGATATCGTACCCATATTCAGCCATCCCTAATCCATCAAAAAACTTGCGCCTTGGAAATTTGCAACTCCCACAATATTTAGAATATGGATCAAAATCGAAAGCATCGTAACAAGCTTGAGCCATTTCTCCGTAACGAATTAATTCGTTATGTAGAATTGGATCCATTGGATCAAGCATACCTACCCAATCATCTTGACCATGAATTTCTAGCCATCGATCTACTAATTCCGGTTCATAAATTTTCGTAGTGTTTACACTTTCTTCTAATTGATCGATGGATTTGTTGATCTTTTCTTTTTCGAACTCGTTAATGATAGGTGTGAAAGATTGGCTAGTTTTAGACGACAAAGAGCGTGTTCTGGTTGACGACTTGATTCTAGTAAGGAAATTAGAGGGAGGAAGAAATGAATCGGCGGGTTTGAAATTAGTTGTACCTTCGTGCTGATGGGGTGTACATGTTTGGAATGTGAGAATGGAGTTATTGAGAGAAGCCATTGATGAAACAAAATGAGGTCAATGATGAGATAGCTGAGGAGGGGTTAAATATGTATTGGGATGATGAAATAATGGTGGTCCTGTTTTATATAGTAAAATATATACAGTAATAATTTAAAAGAAAGATGGAAGCAACATTGATATAATATATCAGTGTGGGTTGTGGTGGATCGGAGTGGTGACACTATTTCACTCTTAATTAAACATTTTGAGTTTAAGTTTTGGATATGAAATTTTTTTTACTGAAAATATCGCACACAAAATGGACCTTACAGTGTACACCAAATAAAAAAAACAAGATTAAGATAATACTAATAGTTTCAAAAGAAAGATTTAAGGTGGTATTTTAAAAAGAAAAACGAATGGAAGCGAGCTTAATATATATACTCTCCATCGATTACTTTTACTTGTTCATTTTAGAATTTATCTGTCTTTTAAGAATTAATAATTAATATAAAGATTTTACCATAAAATTCATATTAATTGATATATAGTTTAGATTTTAAAAAATAATTTGAGGACTAAGTAATTAACTAATGTTGAGAATAAAAAAGAAAAAAAATTACTTTCTTTGTATATTACTATATAAAAAGAAATAAATAAAAATAAAAATTAATTTTTAAAATATTAAACAAATAAAAATAAATGAAAAAGTAATAATTAAGGTCTGCATAGTCAATAATTTGAATACTGTTTATGTGAAGAAAAATGGAGTGCGCATGTATCACATGGAATAATTTTGAATACTAGTAGGTAATATTCTTGGAGCTTTGGAGGTTGACCTAAATGGATTTCTCAAGAAGGTTCTGACTTATGATTTTTTTTTTAAATATTAACTTTGTTATACTTGCTTTTAATTTCAATATAATACGGTTAAACCTTTTTATATTAATCGTGTTTGTCTGAAAATTTATTTAGATGTTATTATAAAGAAAAGTATGTAAAGAATAAATATATATCAGATAAATAAGTTAAAATGAATGAAGTAGTACTACTTATTCATACTTTAACTACTTAGCTAGAGTTAGTTAAGAATCATTAAAAACATATATAATATTAATAAAATTAGTAAACAGAATTATATTGCAAATTCATGTACCCCGTAACCACTTGTGATAAACTACAAACTTCAATTCATATAAAGGAATCACACAAAACTCATTTTAATGAAATAAAGCATCATATTATAATAACTTACCGTATTATTTTGACTTTGAAAATATTGTAATAAAATTTTCACATAATATATACTACTGTCAAAATTTTAGCGCTGTTTTTCCTTGTTTAATCACTATTTTGGTTTATACTTTATATATGCAAATGGAGTTAAATTGTTATAAATTAAGAAGTTTTATTAAGTAATTTAGTAATTTAAAATTTTGTGTAAAGATAGGTAAGTTTTTATAAAGACAAACAAATGTAATCCCATGAGCACTTTTTTAAAAATTGAAAATTAATATTTGCTAAGGTTTTGCTAGTGTTGATGTGCAACATTTCAATATTTGGATGTAAATAAAATTACTAATATTAATTACAAAATTTGTAGAGAGATATTTTTTTTCTTACCAAAGTTAAAAGAATTTTTTTCCAAACTCAATCTTTTAACTATAATTAAGGTACTCATTAAATTAATTTAATTTAGATCTTTAGTAACTAAATAAGACAAGCATCACTCATCAAATGTACTCTCTCCATCCTTAAATAAGCGATATTTTTAGCTTGGAGCCTTGAACATACTC